ATCTGACCAAAAGAAACATGCAATCTTTGCAAACCCATTTCAGCTTTCTAAAGAGGTAGAATTTTGTAAAATGTTGAAATAGATATGTATGTCACTAATTTTATATGAAAAAGCGTTAGAACCAAGTTTGAGGTAAATCTCACTATAAACAAAACACCATACTTAACCATAGACAACATTACGTTTAGCTGTCTGTTTCGTTTTGTCATATCATTTTAAACAAATGAACGGCTAGACTGTTTTTTGACTGATAAATTTGTCGTTTTCCTGTCAGTTGCGTTTTCTTATACCACATGTTTTTTGCACGGAAACGAGATAAAAAGTATCCTATGTCCGTTTCCTGGTTCTAAGCTACCTCCCCACCAATTTTCAGCCAAGTCGATTCAGCCGTTCTTGAGTTATAAATAGTGTACAAAATAATTCGAAGTGGTCTGTATTCTGTCGATACTGCCAGACGCGGATCGCGATTTCGATCTTTTTGGATCTCAAATGGCGCGTCGCAGGCAGCTCCGACAGAACACAGACCAACCTTTACCTGCTGTCTTGGAGCATATGTAATCCTCAAATGTAGCATCGTACTACAGATGGGACTCACCACGCCATTTGTGGTATTTTCTATAAATAGTGTAATTAAAACAACTTTCTTTTATTTATATAGATTGTCAGTCCGTGTGAGTCGAACTGTAGCAATAAAGTGTCCTAACAGTGGTGATTCTTTTGTTATCTTAAAGGCTAATATACATTTAACCAGAGTAGAAACCAATTATTTCAATTTCTTAAAATTAAATCACTTTAATGTACAAACCATCCACTTTCAAAGCATAAGAAATCTATTCAGTGCGCAAGTGGTAAAAGTTAATGTTATTTGTTTAAAGAGCAATTATACTGCATACTATCAGCGATGAACAAATGGTGTTATTAATTCATTCTGGATCCTTAGCTCAATTCAATGCACAGGTAGAGACCTGTAGCGGTCACGCTACATACCCTCCTAACAAATTTCGCTTCAATTCAGTTCGTAAAATTTGTGGATAGATATATTCAGCCTGTAGCGTCTACTTTCCTTGGAATGCTAGCAAGGTGACCGAAGGAACTATACAACGATATAATAGCTACGTGGGCTACTAAAGACCAATTCACGATCAGGGCCGGCTTCGGATTGTAACTTATTATGATTTTCTTGCAATTTTTTTATCTCTTAACAACACTGCTATACCTACTCACCATACAATTCTCTATAACATCTAGATGACACCCTCCAAAGCTTACCACTTATTTTAGAAACAACATTTAAATGTGTAATAAATCTTCATTGGTATTTATAGGATTTCCAAAACACCTTATGTATCTTTTTCCCGTCATCAATGATAACATTGTGCTTCAGACAGATTTTTCAATTCAGTTTCTGCCGTTGACTTGATTGATTAAATTCAAACAAATCCAAATAGAATCGCGTTGAAAAATTTTTACCTTGCAATCGAAAACAATTTTCGCCCTATTTCACAAAACATGGTAGACACAACGTCCACGAAGCAATCTACGATGTAATGTTGTCCGAAATCCTCCAATTTATTCTTTATTGACTTACTCCTTATATACTAAAATTTAATCTCTGGAACAATCCACACCTTCTCTCTTCATTCAAAAAGCCATTCCGAACCTTTAAAGAAATAAATTAAAAGTATTTAGTTACTAATGGCGTTTCGTCTTGAGTTTCGTTAAGTATGCTTCTCTAAACGCTATTCGATTTGAAATTCAATTGCTCCACATTTATAAAGAAGTTAACAAGTACAAATTTTTCACTTCATAATATTTTGTTTTGTTTATTTTTACAGCATTCTCTATCATCTACGCGTAACTCTCTTAATATATTGAAGTCTGATGTATATTACCTATAAGTAGTTTAGAGTAACATGAACCTTCAGATCCACGAGATGGGGGCCTTATCGCATCCATTTTGTACATTTGGAAAATATTGACTCCGCTGCTATTCTATTGTACCAGTCAGTGTGCTTTCCTATATAGCCTGGGATAGAGCTACAGATAAACTCTAATAAAGTGACGATCAATTATTGAGTTGGAAATACACAAATCAATCAATTAATCAAGGTCAAAGTTGATGTTATGCTAAATTAGCTCGTTTACATTAATATTATTATCTTAGACGATGCGAATGAAGGAACTGTTTGTGCAAAACTGAAGCCAGTTTAGCGCCAGTTCGATCCGTTCAGTAGCGTAACTAGAGATTATGTACTAATATATTTAAATATAGATATATGTTTTACTAATACATAAAATTAAATTAAATTTTTGAAAAACATGTACGATTCATCCCAGAAGAAAACGAACTTACGTCATTGTTGGCGGAGCAAAGAAAAAGTGTTGATGCGCTCTGCATATTATACTACTGATACCCATAATTCGATCTAGCAGCGACTGATAACGCATAACAATATAATAGTATATATATTTAACTACATTTTTGTTAATCGATTTAAGAAAGGATAGTGTACATTAAGTTCGCTGTTCGTGCGATATACAGGGTGTCCTAAGCAAGCTCGGTTCCTCAAAAACTGCTTTGCTATAGTTGAAGGTATCCAAAAATGTTTCTTATAAAAGTGGTATCATATAAGTATGTCCATATTCTAAAATTATTTTCGATTATACAGAGTGTCCCATTTTTCCTGGGGGCAACATAACTTCATCTTTTCAAATGTAATGCCCCATTTATTATTGCATTTTTGAATTCCTCGTTTAATTTAAATGCCACTTTGTTAACCATATATTATGTCCAAAATGCATCAATTTCCATAAAATTCCCAATAAATTAAGAAGTACGCTATGGCAGTGTTTTACGCCATTTTGAATAACTCCGAAACGAAAGCACACAGTTTTTCACACATAGTTTATGGAAGAAATGACCTTTTATTTTCATTATTAACGCAAACATGTTTTTTTCAAATTCAATGAAATCTACCACTTCCAAAATAAATTGTTTCGAATTGACATAACTGTTTTTTTTTTATTTTTTAATGGAATGCCATATTGTTTTGTCAGCTCATCATGTGCAAAATTAAACTTTTTTATGATACCAATTTATCTCAGAATGGCAAGTATGCCTTGGTCGGCGATTTACTTTAATCCACCTTTGTTTGTTACGAATTTTGCTTGTCTGTATCTGTCTTTTTACCTTGACTCAAAGCCATGGACTAGCCAGTTCAGAAATGAACAACCTATAAAACGAAACGTTACTCGGCACCTGCTTAAGCACACTGATTGACGTTCGTAGCAAACAAAGGTCAATAAAAGAAAATCGCCAACCAAGGCATACTTGATATTCTGATACAAATTGGTATTATAAAAATGTTTTTTCTCAAAAAGTGTTAGTCGTAGATAGTAACATTGTTATATTGGACGAAAGGAAATAAAATTTTGCACATGATGAGCTAACAAAAAATATGGCATTCCATTAAAAAAAAATAGTTATGCCAGTTCGAAGCAGTTGATCTTGGAAGTGGTAAATTTCAATTAATTTGAAAAGAATATGTTTTCGTTAATAGTGGACATAGTAGGCCACTTCTTCCAGAAGTTATGTGTGAAAATAGAACACCTCTGTATGCTTCCGTTTCGGGGATATTTAAAATGGCGCAGAACACTGCAACAACCTATTTACTGATTTATAGCCAATTGGATATTGATGCATTTTAGACGTAATATATGGTTAACAGTGATATTTAAATTTAACGAGGAATTTAAAAATGGAATAATGAACGAGATTGAATTTGAAAAAACGAAGTTAGGTTGCATTCAGGAAAAATGCGACACCCTGTGTATTCAAAAATAATTTTAGGATATGAAGATACTCATACAGTAGTTCTTTTGTAAGAAACTCTTTTTAATATCTTCATCTGTAAAACAGTTATTGAGGAAACGCGCTTGCTTGGGACACCCTGTATAATGTAAACTCACAGATATTGTGTTTTTAAAGATTTTACGCGATGGAAATGTTTGAATTTGCGATGAACACTTTTTATAGTAGTAGCTGTGATTAACATTTTAGAAATTAATTATTTACGCCAATTTAACTTCAATGGCTTATCTCGACCCTCCGTGATAATTTCAATATTCTTTTTAAGCTTTTTACAATGACTCATCGAAACATTTTATTAAAAGGAATTCCTAATTTCGAAGCATTAGCTTAATATGCTGATGGAAGGCTTCCATAAATTAGTCCTAAAGACGTCTATATTTGAAGTCTTTATGCCGACAATATTTCAGATCCAATCAATTTATAATTGCTCCATCACAAAGATCCGATAGCTGCGTACTTTACCTGCTCCTATGAGATAACATCAAAAAGTTTAACATAATTTTGTCCATTAACTCACTTAGATATCCTTTGTCAGTTCATAAATCTAATTTTAAGAATAATTGATTTAATTAAGGATACCTGGTAACAGTAGCGGCTCGTGAAATGAAGCCGATGATTGACAAATGCTTACTCACTTATTTTTGAAAGTTAATTTGGTCCTTCGATCCTTGATAGACACAAACTTGTTTTTATTAAATTAACGCAGTCTACGCTCAGCAACGTGAGCTGACTTGAGTACAGCTCACAAACCCGACCAAATTCGCATCTTTTAGCACAATGTTAACATAAAAATGGTCGAAAAGATGAGCGGTGTGGGTTTCTGAACAGTGCACAGAACTACCTGATGCGGGCCAGGTCAATAATATACTTATTATCTACTATCAACCAGAGGTCCAGAGTTTGATCTGATACTTAGCACAAGAGGTGGATTTTGAAGACGCATATCAGGATTGTGTGTATTATATTAATAAATTTTAGTAATTAAGTCTTAAAAATACATAAATACCTAAATTTTTGGGCAGTTTTTCAACTCTGCAGCCATAAGTCATCCCTGCTCTGCAAACCATTATTACGAAGTTAAAAATATTTTTCTTGTGTATAAACTAATCACGAATATTTCTTGTTTCAGGGACCGAGTATATCGACTTAACCTGAGCAATATTAATCAATCGAACTGTGAGGTAAGTTAATAGATTTCAGGGAATGATATTTATCACGATAGACAAAAAAAGATCAACATAACCTTAGTTAGTCTTGTTATTCGACTCACATAGGAATCCTTCATCTCATTCATGGATTTCTTTATGTAGGTACTGTTGAGTTTATATACAAATAAAATAGGTCAGTATGTTAAATTTGCGGATGAAATAGCACAGGGGTCGACAAAATATGGAATACAATAGTAGGTTAAAATATACTTCGTTTACATTCTGTAGCGATGTGATCTTCAGTTTGACCGGCGCAAAGTAGATAAGAACAGCACTAGGCCAGAAAAGGAAGGAGACAACTCTCGGCCAAACTCTTAACCGGTGAGGAGCGTATAATCCGTACAGTACTGCACGAAGAAAATTGACCATTTTATCCACTACATTTGCATTGCTCAAATGTGCTGTTATTGGTACCATTTACTACTGAAAATATCAACGAGATGTTTATTTATATTTCAAGACATATTAAAGGCTTTAACGCTTGTTTTCGACTCGCACTACTATTCATGATTGAACAAAACTTTTGGCAGGTACTGTATGAAAAAGTATGTTTAATGAACAAGAGTCGAGAGTATAATGAGCTTTTTTCTCCCTACCTACGATTATGTCAGAGCGCATCCAAGACATTTGAAGGGGCACATCGCTAGAGAAAGTAATTAAAGTATACTTATTTTTTATGTGAAGTGCACAAAAAGTCGGCATTTCTAAATAAGAGAACTTTTAGAAATTTAGGGAAAGGGTTTCTCAAATTGGACATCCTGTCCAAAAGTTGGGAGTCCTTTTTTCAAGCAAAAATACCACAATAAGGTTTTTTTATACTTTTATACAGTTTACTCAAAAAAGCTATTTTTTATTTGTTTAGACAAGTAGGCTTTAAATTTATATATTTAGTTAGATATCTAATTTTGAATACAAAATAATATTCAAACATTAATGAAAAATTAATTTAATTTCCAACCACTAAAAATTATAGGATGGAAATTGAATACATCGCATTAATGTTTGAATATTAATCTAACCGCTATTAAAAGCTTCTTAAAATTGTTTGAATACCAAACTTTAGGACACTTTTCCTATCTTAAGTTCGAAAAAAGATATCCATAATGTAGCAACCTTTATTCCAAACACCCAAGTACCTACGTTTATTCTACAACAATGTTTTCTTCCTTATCAAATTACATTTTCCTACGCTAAGTATATTCCTTTGTTTATCTGCTAACTGCATCACAAATATTATGACGCCACCGACTAGTTATTCAGCTAGGATTATTTGATGTTAAAAACTTTTCAATTTGTAGTTTCAATCACCAAAAACTATTAACAGGTTTTAAGATAACGAATAATCCATAATTAGGCGACTTGCTACTAATGTAACCTGTTGTCATGTACTTAGTTGTTTTTGTAACGATCCATTTTTAAAATGTTGAAATCATCATTGACTTAACTGTTTTAATGTATTACTTCAAAATATTTACCTTTTCTTAAATGGTTTCGAAGTTGGTATTCTTCTTGGTAGAGTATTTCAGCATTGGCTTGCAAATTACCTCTTAATTTCGAATTCGCTAGTGCAAGTGTGATGTTGGATTTATATTTATGTCATATCTAGACGTCCATTTCCTGTCAGTTTCTTGTCAACCTTTGAAGTAATTTATCTAAATTCTAAATTTTTCAGTATTCCAGAATGAACAAAATTACTTTAGCCCATCTAACAAAATTGAAAACTCCAATACAAAAACACAAAATTGCGGAATTAGTAAATGGCTTAGATAAGGAAAAGTATACAAAATTTGAATCACAAGAAGTACATACTACTGGAAATACTATTGTCAAAACTGATTCCCAATTAAATTTTGAAGATCACAATGTATCCACCGCGCACAAAACAAATTTGGAACTGATACAAAGTTGGATTGTTTTCTCTCTTTGTCAAATTCCAATGCTAGCTTCACATAGTGAGATTCTCGCCAAAAGCTTAAGAAAAATTTTGGGCGATTCGCTTTTTAGTCTCATTATGAAAATGACTTTCTATGGTCACTTTATTGGGGGGGAAGATGAAAGGAAAATTGTACCTGGAATCGAACGTATGAAGAGCTTCGGAGTGCTTCCTATATTGGACTATTCAGCAGAAGACGAATTGACAGATAGTGAAGTGAAAGACCTTGAAGCAACTTCTTCCCAGTCGAAGATACTGTCTCAAGAGGATGAAGAAATAATTCATAAATACCGTTATAACGAAAAGTTCGCTGATAGACGTAAAGATGTAACAAATGCTCACATTTACTTTTACCGTGGTGAATATTCCTGCGACAAGAATATGGAAAACTTTCTTAAATGCATAGACGCGGTTGGTGGTACTCGCCATGGTCAAGGTTTCGCAGCCATTAAAATAACTGCTATTGCACGACCGCAGATACTCCTACAGTTATCAGAGATCATCATGCGTACAAGAAAATTCATGACGAACCTAGTAAAAGGAGAAAAAGATGAAAGAGGCAATGTTCTTCGACATCATCTTTCTGCTGAAGACCTAAAGAAAAAAATCGAAAAGTTCGAAGGATACGATGAATTTATGTCTAAGGTAACTGCCGACGATAAGGGAATCATCCATTTATTCCCATGGTCCCAGTTGGTAAACGAAGAGTTCGAACTGCAAGAGGCGTTCAAATTTCCCGATTTAAAAACAGGCAAAATGATCTCATTACTCCAAAATCTTACTGAACTGGAAGCGCAGAGTTTTCGAGGAATGCTTCATAGATTGCATCACATTGCAAAAGAAGCAGTAGAAAGGAATGTGTATGTCACTGTAGATGCTGAACATTCTTATTTCCAACCGGCTATATCCCGTCTAGCCGTAGAACTGATGAGAATATACAACAAAACAGATACCTACGTTTGGAATACCTATCAGTGTTATCTCAAGGACGCTTATAATGAAGTTTTTTCTGATGTGGAACAAGCAGCTCGTCAAAATTTCCATTTCGGTGCCAAAGTCGTAAGAGGAGCTTACATGAGAATGGAAAGGGCAAGAGCAAAAGAGTTGGGTTACGAAGATCCGATCAACCCCACATACGACTCAACCACTGAAATGTATCATAAAGTCTTACAAGAGATATTGAAACGAATAAAAGCGGATAAAGATTCGAACACAATAGGCAGACATAAGGTATTGGTTGCCTCACACAACGAAAAATCCGTCAAATTTATAATTGAACGTATGAAGGATCTCAATATTTTGAACTCGGACAAAACAGTTTGTTTTGCACAATTGACTGGAATGTGTGACTTTATGACACTCCCATTAGCTAATAGTGGTTATAGAGTTTACAAATATTTGCCGTACGGGCCTGTAGTTGAAGTGATACCGTATCTCTCTCGTAGAGTTCAAGAAAACCAAGCTCTTATGGAGAAAGTTGGAAAAGAGAAAAGAATGCTACGAAGGTCACTATTCTCAAGACTTAAAAAAGGTCAAATATTTTACACTCCACAGGGTAAACTTACTCCCGTCTAATAAAATAAGCATAGGCTGTAAATTAAAATATTTATCTCCAATGGTATATCGTCCTGTGGTAAACTGTACTACATATTAGATGCACACTAAGTATGCTGTGAACTTATATTCAGATGACAGAAAAAGTAATAGACAAATAACATCTCGCATGTTCAAAACTTAAATATTTTATTAGATTGGTATTGTCCATTTCCGTAATCTTTTTCTACTAGGTACTAAAGTAAAATATGCGCATAATTTCTATTACGGTTTATAATAGAAAGTTTAAAATATTTGTCACCTTCTCTTATTTTGTAGTGACCTCCACATTCTGATAAAATGTTCTACTTTAATTGTGTGGTTCTGCTTTTCATATTTCTCAACCTATCGTTAAAATTTGACTATTAAAAGTTAGGTATAAGTTGGGGTTTCTTAGAAATTTTCTTGAAATTTTCACGTATGTATAACCTTTGTTAAGAGTCGAAATAGGTGACATTGTGTCATATTTTGGTGTTGGAATTTGAGCTATTTAGTGCGTTTTACAACATTATTAATGTTTCCAGTCTTCTTAAATAATCGAAAGCATTTGAAAATATTCATTATATTTACACAATACTTTTAAGAAGTTCCTATAATATTTTGAAATATTGGAAAACGCCATTTTTAACTTACACAAGTCAACTCAAATATTGATAAATTGACATAATAAGTAAGACATGGACATTTGATGATACATTTATATATACCTACCTTAAATTTTGTTTTTAAAATAATGTTCAATAACTAGACACAATGATAATTAGCATGTACAATTTCAAATCTAAATATACCTTGGTTTTGACATAAAGAATACAGTGTATCTACTATTAAAAAAGAAAGAATATCGGAAATAAAGTTAATGCTTCTAATTCTTATTTTTATTAAATTTACCGTTTCCAGTTGATCTTGTGAACCAATACAATGTGCTATTTTTACTTTTATACGAAAATGAGATAAGTACCTACAGTGAGGTCGCGACAATGCAAGGTGCACAATTTTTAGTTTAGCACGACGCAATAAGAAACAAAAATACAACGTCTAATTATACAACACGCTACTGAAGTAAAACTTCTTCAAACACACAAACATACCGGGATAGGGGTTTAGGAATTGATTTAATGGTATTATTTGTACATCATGAATTTAAATTTTACACTGTACATGCCGAAGTTGCCTGTAACGAACGTTGCATTGGAGCGCTCTCACGGCTCAAGCGATCCCCACTACAAACTCGACTACGTGGCCGAGTGGAGGGGGACATCCGTTGCATGATTTCGTTACATAGCCACTTGCATGAAACGAATTTACCCTACCGTGCGTAAAGAAGTTTCACTTTAAAAATCAAATGCGTGTAGTGTACAGTCTTCTTTATTCACTATGCAACATAATAGAGAAGAAAATAGCGAAAACGTTTGATAGAATGACGGTGAGATAAATTGATGCCGCG